CAGAGAGAAGGGAAATAGCCTTAACCTTAAAGCATCATCGGAGATATTTGTCTGTTTACTCCCCTAACAAGTGTCCACAAACCTCTTAAAGTATTTATATGCATTTTGACTCAAAGCCCCAGTGAAGAATCCCCGTTGCTCTAGCAATGTGAGAATTATATTTGTGATTTGAAATTTACCCGCCCTAATGCGGGGTGGGACCATGGAACTTGCATACCCTTCATTCGACAACACCTGGTGTGGAGCCGCTCTTGGTGGAGGTGGGGGTGGAACTGGGACGTTGTCTTGAGGCATCCAACCTCGTCTATTTGCTTGAGGTTCAATAGGAACCTCATCGACTTGGTCATCATCAACGTCCACATCCCCCAAAGTTATGTTTCAAATTTGATCATTGTTGAGAGCCATTGTTGCATCTATAATTGATTTACAAAAATCACTAATACAGAAGGAAAAAAAGACAATTCACACAAAAGTCAAATATATAGCTAAATTAGTTTTTAGCTCCTCAGCAACGGCGCCATAAATTGATCTCATCCAAGTCACACCTCTATTTAAGGTTATGAAGCAGTCGATGTAATAGTAATACCCAACAAGGAGCCGGGGTCGATTTTCCACAGGGAGCTATGAATAGGACTTATGGGTATATATTGTAGTGTATGAGCTTGAACTATCTCAATTTATACTTGCACAAATTTGGGATGTTTCTATGTATAGATTAAACTAAGATTGCAAAATTAAGAAATGAAACTAGCAAAAAAATTTGGTTGTTTTTCAAGTATTGTAAAAAGGTTAGGGTTGTGACCACCACCTCGGTGTTGGTCGGGGTATATTATAGCTATCAACACTCAATTACCCACTAAATACCTCCTGGTCAGAGAGTGACCTTGCCCAATTTGGTTTTCTTAAGTCCAAATGGGTGTTACACAAAATAGTTGATAAAAGCTCAAGTCGGGTTATTACTATCTCTAGGTTGAAACCTTTATATTGGGATTATCAATCTCTTGACTGACCCAATTTCTTGTTAGCCAATTTTTCCTAGACTAAGTCTCTCTTTCTCAATTAGAGACTAAGTCAAATAGGCATGAACTAATGTTTGCAACCATTAGTTCCATAAATTAAAGCATGAACAAGGCCAAATAATAAATACCCGACCATGAACAAGCACTAAATCAAACACCCATAAGGTTTACACACTAGGATTGAGTCACAACCCTAGTAAAAATCTAGTTACTCATGCTTGAAACTAAAGAAATAGAAGAAGAGATGGTAATTAAACTCATATTGCAAATTTAAAATGACAAAATCTATGTTAAAATAAGCCCAAAGATGAAAAACTACTAAAAGAAGTAAAGAGAAATGGCAACTATAGTTGCTGATGTCAAATGTTAACCTAAAAATGTGAAACTCGTCTATGTATACATGCTGGAAATTTCTGGCAGAAATTCCCTTTTGAAGGTTCTAAGGCCTCACAATTCCATGTGCGGTCCACACTTTTCTTCATCTTGATAGGATTAGAACTCTGCGGCCGCATAATTCCGGACTGCGGCCGTACTACACTCTTTCTGCGGTCCGTACAATTGTAACTGCAGCCGCATAGCTTTTCTTCTGTGGTCGCACAATAATTGTCCAGTCCGTACTTTTAATGGTCTTGAAATGCATATCTCTGAACTTTTCTCTTAACCTAGCTTCTGCGCCCGCACAATTCATGTGCGAACCGCATTTTGCAACTTTTCCTGCTGGCCTTTCTTTCACACTCCGATTGCAGATGATAATCTGCTGTTCACACTTCTGAGCTTTTGTGCCTTTTGTGTCCTTGAGTTCAGATTACTCCTTCTTGAGTTAGATTTCATCTCGGAAGTTCTTCTTCCAATATTCCTACAATTAAGCACAATTATTAGTTGTCGGGAACACAATTGAACGCTTTTAGACTAAAACTAAATCTAAAAGGTGCTAATAAGTAGTCAAAATCCTCACTTATCAATACTTACCTCAAAAGAAGCTAGAGCGATACTCTAAAATGGCTCTCTCAAGTGAAACAACTTCCGGACGACCCAAATATAGCCAACATAACTTCAAATAATAAATAAAACTTATAGAAAATAATTCCGGATAATAAAGCTTTAATTTTTTTAATAAGAACTAAAAGTAGACCCAAAAGTCGAACCCCGGGCCTGCACCTCAGAACCCGATAAAATTTACAAAATCAGAACTGAGTTCAACCATACCAAAATTATCAAATTCCGATATCAATTCATCGTTCAAATCATCATTTTACACTTTAGAAAGATTTTACAAATTTTCCCAGATTTCCAATTTAATTCACTAATTATATGATGAAAATAGCAACAGATTCATGAAATATAACAAGATTTGGGTAAAGAACGCTTACCCTAATGAGTTTCTTGAAAACCTCACGAAAAATCTCTCAAAACCGAGGTCTAAAATTCAAAATATGTTAAAAATATCAAACCCTTGACATATATGCACTTCTCGACAGGCTTTTCGCATTTGCGAACAAGAACGTCACATCTGCAGCCTCACATTTGCGAGAAAAGGTCCGCATTGCGAACCCAACTAGCCAGCCCAGTGCCTGTACCTGCACAAGAAGGAGTCACACCTGCGGCTCCGCAGAAGTGCAAAAATCACCACAGAAGCGGACATCTTTGCATTTGCGATCAATGGGCCGCAAAAGCGCCATCGCATCTGCGACAAATACTCCGCAAAAGCGAAGCCCCCATCCCCCCAGGCCTCAACATCGCAGAAGTGACATAATCTTCGCAGAAGCTGCTCCGCATCTGCAATCAAACCTCCACAGATGCGGATCACCAGAAGCAGACCTGATCACAAGCATAAAATCATCCGAAACTCGTCCAAACATAACACGGACCCGCTCTAGGTCTCAAATCACATCAACAATGTTGAAACTACGAATTACACCATGAATCAGACTTATGAACTTTCAAATCTTCCAACTTCCAAAACTCGTGCCGAAACATACCAAATCAACCTGGAATGATGTCAAATTTTGCATGCAAGTTCCAGATGACATAACATAGCTAATCCAACTCTCAGAACTGCATTCCGATCCCGTTATTACCAAAGTCAACTCTCGGTCAAATCTCTCAACCTTCCAAAACTTCAACTTTCCAATTTTCGCTGAAGTGCTTCAAATTATCTTACGAACCTCCAAATCCAAATCCAGACGCATACCTAGTCCAAAATCAGCGTACGAAACTATTAGAATTATCAAAATTCTATTTCGAAGTCGTCTACACAAAAGTCAAAATTCCGGTCAACTCTTACCGCTTAAGCTTCTAAAACTAGGATCATTCTTCCAAATTGACTCTGAATCATCTAATAACTAAGTGTGATTAGCAATATTGTAAAATAATTGATATATTTTTTTAAATTAATAATAATTGGATTAATTAATTATAAAAACAAAGAACATACATTTTGTAATAATACCATGGAATGCATGTTCGAGAAAATCAATTAATATTTATGAATATAATGTCATAACATTATTCAAATATTTGATAAAACTAATCTATCAATTCTAATTAAAAAAAAATGAACAACATGCAATGTGAAATAACAAGTCAATGCTACTAAAGCAAGCAAATTAAAACCATAAAATATAACATAATTTCAATAAAAAATATAGTTTAACACATGTCAAATTTCAGCGTAATAATAATAAGTTCCACAATTTAAGATTAGGAAACATAATAAGTTTATAGCCTCGTTTAACAATAAAATTCTACTTTATTAATATCACCCATTATATGTCATGTTTGTTAATGAATCATCCAATATTAGGAGGTGTAGTTTCAAAAACTAGAATAATAACGCAATTACGCTAAATGAAGAAAATAAAATAAATAAGAAATAAAATATACGAGCAATTACATGGATTCACAAGAAGTAAATGTAAAGAAATAAAAGATAAATAATGTACAAAGAAAAAATTATTTTAAAATTTAAAAATAAATTAAATAATAAAAATAAGAAAAATTAAAATTATATAAATAAAATTTTTATAAGGAAATAAATAGAAATAAAAATAAAAAGGAAAGAAATTAAAAAGTAAATTTGTAATTATACAATGTAATTACCACCAATTCTCACCTATTCCCCCTCCCCCGAGAATTGAAGAGTGTAATTACACCTCTACAATTACACACAATTACATGCTGACAAAGTAATTACTTAGCTGGACAAACATGCCAAATGTGTAATTACACCTAATTACACCCAAATCCAATTCTCTGGTGGCTTTCGAAACAGGCTCTAAATTATTTCCAGCATATTCACTAGCAAGACATAAGATATTCTAGCGATTATGAGTATCAAACTACAATGTATCAAATATGTTTCCTTTCGTATGATTTAGATTTATCTTTCTAAATATTTAATTTTCTATAGACTTTATTCTTGAGTCTCAGCTTGATTAATATCTTTTCACTCGTTTGGTTTATATTTTCTTTGTCTTTACTTAGTTTCTTTTACGCTATTGTAGAATAGTTGATGGATCTATTATCTTTTATATTTTCTTAATTCATCACCCTTTAAACAGAAAAAAATTCTAGATAGCTTTGATAAGTCCTATAAAAGTATGCATAGTATTGCATTCTACTTCTACTAATGACTTTTACATGATATTTAAGAAAAATACTAAAAATTAACCGAACCACACCGATAACTAAGAGAAACAAGCATGATGGGACGATTTCGAAAAGTCTAATTTTAATTATATATAATTAAATAACCAAAAAATTAGTAAAATATAAATTTTATAAAATAACCCTCAAACCGAACCATTAACACCCTATCTCACCGGAACGAAAAGTTGAGGGCTGAATTCGATCATTTTTTCAGTAGTAGAATTGGATACTTAGAATCCGCCTGTTCCAAATAAAGATAACAAATACGAGATGATTTTTCTAATAACAAAGGGTATAAATAGATCAAAAGCGTACTGACGTACAAAATTAAATAAATTCAAATAGCACACAAATAAATTTGGACCTCTTTACTTTTTCCAACTTTCGAACTCAGTTTCTGAAAGTCAGCAAAATCTAAAAAATCTCTTCATGTCAGAGTTTTCAAAAACTCAGAAAGAAAAAAATTATAAAGAAGAGATTATTTTTTTTCATACTCGGTTTTTGCAAAAACTTCAAACAATTCTTTTTTATTTTTAGTACAACATAGTAGGAAAGAACTTAGACTAACAAAAATTTCTTCCAAACTAAGAACTCGCAATCTTGAAAATCCGGCGCCGGCGTTACTTTCTCCGGCGAACTGGGGCCTTCCTTTCTCATGGAATCAACCGTCGTACAAACCCAACCACTCCAATTCGTTCACTCAATGACATCAAAATTCATCCCCACAATTCGATTTACTGCTTCCTCCTCTGTAGCATTCAAGAGGCTCTTCTCTGCTTCAGTTTCATCTTCAGCAGCCATTGCCACAAATGCCCCTGTCATAGAAGAGCAAAACCCATCTCCTGAACCAACTACTTCCAGTAGAAATGGAGCTCCAAAAGTGGCCAGGGGTAGTAAGGGAATTTTGGAAGCTCAGCTGAAAATGGACTGGCTGGAGTCTTTGTCTTGCCCTTTTCAATATACTAAGGATTTGAATAATGCAGGTTGGGTTATTGGGGTTGACCCAGATACTTCTGGTGCCTTGGCTCTCTTGAAACCAAATCAACCCCCTCAGGTAAGTATAAAAGTTTAAATTTTAGTTATTTATTATTGTTGCAACCTATAATTTGTTAGAATTAATGTAGTGCACAATGGAATAAACAGATACTATGCAGGCGATACCAATTAGCTGGAGTTAAGTTTAGTCATGTTAGTTCGTTTATTTTAGGTCCAAGGTTAGCCACTTAGCCTGAAGTTCTTTAGTGTTGTGGGAGACTTATATAAAAGGCATCCCAGTGCACTAAGCTCCCGCTATGCTCGGGTTTCCGGGATGCACCGTGCCAAATTGGGTTTTATGTACTCAGCCTTACGTCTGTTTCCGCAACTTGAACATGTGACCTCTTGCTGACTCGACGACAACTTTTACCATTGCCCAAGGTTCGCCTTCCTATGGAGACTTATTTGTCAATAAAAATGTAGAGAACTTATAATATATAATACTCCCTCCGTTTCAATTTATGTGAACCTATTTCCTTTTTAGTCCGTGCCAAAAAGAATGACCCCTTTCCTTATTTGGAAACAATTTACCTTTACACAAAGATTTATAGCCACACATAATATATGTGCCTCATTTTAGACCACAAGATCAAAAGTCTTCTCTCTTTCCTTAAACTCCGTGCCCAGTCAAATGAATTCACATAAATTGAAACGGAGGGAGTATAAAGATGGGCTTAAATGTAGGGACATAACTGTGAGAATTCATGTAGCGGACTCCAACTTATTTGATATTAAGGCAGGCGTAGTTATAGTTGTTGTTGTATTACAGTTGCAACATGGCCCTCACGTGCAGACCTCATACTTTTTAGGGGTTAAGCATGTGGAAATTATTTTTTGTTGATGGATATCTTAAGACTAGAATTCAGTTTTTATATTTATTGTAGGTTTGAACAGTACTGATGTTTTCCTTTGCCCTGTTTCCTTAGTTCAAGAACCTTTTTTAACTTCTTCTTTAAGCGAGAGTCGTAATAAGAACCTTAGATGTTGTTTATATCTTTGATACTATGTGCTACGGTTTTTTTTTAATAACTATGGTGTTCGGGCCAGCTTGCGCGTATCTCGATTTATTTCACGGTACATGCTACCTCCCACCAATATAGGTATCGGGTAACTCTGTCTACCAAGGCTTGAATAGATGGGAAGAAATCATCTAGTATTTTTGCCTCTGTTGGGATTTGAGCTTGAGAGTTAAAAGTTCTCAAACACATTTTTTGACCACTTGGTCACACCCTTGGATGCCTAGGATTGTCTATTCTTCTAGCATACATGGGCTTATGTCTGTAAGCCAATGTTATACCTGGAGGTTACTGTTTCCTTGACATTGTCAGTAGTAATATACCCCCTCCTTTTCAATTTAGATGAAATAATTTGACTTGGCACAAAGTTTAAGGAAAAAAAAAAGAAGACTTTTGAAACATGTAATCCTAAAAGCTTAAGGGGCAAAAGTTTTGTGGGACCATGACATTTGTGTGGCTATAAAAGCTTCTCATTAAAGGTAACGTGGTTAAAATAAAAAGTTTAAAGTTGAATTGTTTCCAAATATAGAAATGTGTCATTCTTTTTGGAACTGACTAATAAGGAAAATATGTCATTTAAATTGAAACAGGGGGAGTAGTTCTTTTCAGGCTTTGAGTTCAAATTCATTGTCTTATGTGCTTGGCTAAAATCTTGAAATGACAACTAGTAATTGCCGAGACAAGTGATGGTTGCTCTAGTGATGAGAGTCGCTCCAGTTCTAACCTTTAGGTTCGTAGTTTGAGTAACTAAAGATAGAAAAACAATGGGTAACTGCTGATGATGCTCCTGGGGTTTGCGTGGGGTTGCTCGGGTTGGGTAAACCAAACAACTAATAATTGCTGATTTGAGTTTTCGTCAGAAAATTGTCCACTAGAATTAAGTGAGTTGTGAAATGTATATCCATCTATTTCAAACCAAAGAAGGAAAAAAAGAAAGAAAGAAAGAAATATTCTTGTGCTTTAAAAAGTACCCTGTTCATCGACTTTTTACTTCTAAAACTGCAGTATACTTACTGGTCGCTGACTTCCTATTCCAATCTCCAGGTGTTTGATTCTCCTCACTTGAAAGTACTAGTTGGCAAAGGAGTGCGGAAGCGGTTAGATGCAAAAGCTATTGTTCAGTTGCTTCAAAGTTTTGAAGCTCCTATTGGTACGTAGAAGCTGTCATCTTGGAAATCTTTCAAATCTCTGTTCTTAACTTCCTCAGTTATCTGGAGTGAATGACTTGTGCAGTAGATTCTGCCATTTCTCAGATATTTGTGCTAGTTTGTTTGTTTGGCATTGAAGGTGGCAATGCTCTCTTTTTCCTTTTTTCCTTCACCGATGAACTAAATATTAGTATTTATTTTCTAGGTTTGCTTTGTTGTTTTACTGTCCGCTTCTGGACTAGGGTGTGGGGTGTGAAGGCGGTTGATGCATCATTTATATGAATTCTATTGAGTTTGCAAAGATTCTGAAGCATACACATCGTATAAGTTAATCACTTTTGCAGGATAACTATGAATGCAATTAAAGTATATTCGTCATTGATTCTTCAGTGCAATGGCTGGTTGTTTGAATTGAGTGTCCTTCGTGCTGCATCCATATAACATTGTTAGGAGTGATACATGTAGTATTGGAGAGAATTACAGTAAAAAAATCCGTATTGACGGAATGAAAGATTTTAATTGATCATTCTCTCCCTCTCCCCCTCGTTTGGGGGTTTATTGGAAAACACCCTCGTTGCTACTTCAGAAACACTTTGCCTTACAGTTTTTTGATCTAAGAAAGGCCTTGATATTCAGAGAATAAGTCCTCTTTATTTTCTACTTTCATCTAGTTGAACGGATATGATGGATATCTTTTATAGTTAAAACCTAAGTTGTTCGGACTCTTCACTTATGGTGCCACACCCGTGTCAACACGATCTGGGTGTGGGGTCCGTGCCGGATCTGGCCAACGGATTTTGGGTACTTTGACCAAAATCGATGGAGAAATTTGGGACAGATACAATGACTTTTGAAATCAAAATAAAAGCTAGGGTGAAATTGAAGAAAATGGAATATCTTGTATGTAGAAATTTAGTCATTTTCCTTTTATCTCCTTCTTCGATTATCCTCTTGATCAATATATTCTCCTTCCCGGACTACCTTATGGGTTTTCCACATAATGTCTCATAATTTAGCCATATTTTTATAACTTTGTTTTTAGATATTTGAATTATTTTTAGTCGAATCCCCGCACCTGTATCTGTAGCCCCGAATCTTAACATTTAGATCATGTAGGATCGGACATCTAGATCATCACTCGTATTGGACACCCACACCCTTGTACGAGCAAACTTAGGTTAAAACTAGTCTAAAAGATACGCTAACATGGTGCAATGTCTTCTTTCGTGACCTCATCCTTCGGACCATTTTCTTGTGGTTCAAATAATTACGTCGGATGAAGAAGGTTGGAGTGCTATCTTGGCTTTGAGAAGAAGCTATATGTCCTTTCTTGGAGTCACATAGAGGATTTAGAGACTGCAAATATCCTTACTGATGTATTGGAATGAAATGGTTCAGGATGGAGCAGAATGAACATTGAGGATTTGTCTAGCCAGTTCTAACTAGATGGGATTGCGTATTTGTAGTTGTAAATTTCCTTGCAGATGAGCGATCGTTTCCTGTTTATGGTCTTATCAAATGTATTTGAATTATTAAAATTCACTAGGATAAGTACTTTATCTAAAAAGATTTTTTTTGCATAAGTACATAGAATCACACGAGATATTTCATTTTGTTTTCAGGAACAACTGTGTATGTTGAACAATCAACTCCGTATCCACAAGATGGTAAGCAGGTTAGCAATATCATTAACAAGAATGCCTGTATGTACTGTCACTAGCCTATCACTTTTGTTTAAATGACGATAGATACTTTCATATCCAGTTGCTCTTTAAAACTTGCACCATCAAGTAAATCTGCAATTCGCGAGTGTTTATTACTAATCGACCACATAACATATGCATCTACACTTAGTGGGCCATACATATCAATCCCTTCAGAGCTTCACCAGATCGTGTCAGTCAAGTATGTGCTTGTAGTATCATCTAGCAACTAGCATCTGTTATTTTGGCTTGTTTATTATGCTAAAGAGATGGGAAGACTTGTTTGTCTTTTATTTGGTAATGAGGTGGAAAGACTTATGAACACCATAATTTCCTAAATTAAAACTTCACAAAGTAACAATTCAACTTGTAGCTGTGGTTGGTTGAGATATTGTGATTTTGTTTCAGGGTGGTAATTTTAGTAAGGCTTGTACACATTGTGCCCCTTATCAACACAGGGTTATGGGCGGTTGGGCTTAGGCTTCTCGAATACTTGGAATTTTCGTTTTTGATTTCAATGTTGTATTGCTCTATAGATTCTTGATGGATGTCTCTAATGCTATCATAGTTAGAGACTTTCTGTATGTAAAGGCAGGTTAGAAAGTGTCGTGTTGCCGGAAGTAGAGGCATCACACATTTTTTCGCCCATACGTGATTTAATGCTATCTAACATTACCTGAAGGTGTTGGTTTATGTTTAGTCAACAATGGCATGTCAATTGAAAGAGTTGGTGGAAAGAGTTTGGTGTGGATGCTAGGAGGAAGCTTCCTCCTTTGATGTCACCCATGACATCAAGAGGAGGTAGTTTGATGTCACCAATGACATCAAGAGGAGGTCTTTACCTCTATAACTAGATGCACTCCTTCATTTGTAGAAACCATCTAAAAAATAATACAACACATTGTAGTGAGTAGAGAGTTAAGAGAGAAATTTTCTTAAGTGTAATTGGAACTCTCCCCTTCCTTTGTTAATATTAAAAAGGCAATTGTTCTCTGGTGGACGTAGGATTATTTTGATCCGAACCACGTTAAATCTTGTGTTCTTTCTTTTACGTTTCCGCTAACAATTGGTATCAGAGCAACAGGATTCTTTAACGATCCAAGGAGGAAGAACAAGCATAGATGAGTTCCATGAAGTTTGAAATTGATAGATTCAGCGGACGTAACAACTTCAATATCTGGAAGATCCAGATGATGGCGTTGCTGCGGAGGGAAGGTTCAATCCATGCTATTGACGGAAAGTATCCTACGGATATATCAGCTCCCGACAAGGAGAAGATTGAAGGGGATGCATTGAGTGCAATCCAACTATCCCTTGCACCTAACGTGCTTTGTGAAGTGAGTACGGGTACCGAAGAGACGGCCAAACAGTTATGGGAAAAGCTAGAAGGGCTATACCAAGACCGATCAGTGACAACAAGGATGTTGTTACAACGACGTCTTCACACATTTAAAATGGGGTCAGGTACTTCGTTACAAGATCATTTAGATGCGTTCAATAAACTTGTCATATACTTACAGATTGCAGGAATTAAAAAGGAGGAGGAGACGCTTGCATGTGCTTTGCTATTTTCATTGACTTCAGGATATCGTGATATTGAGAATTCAATGATGTATAGCAAGGAGCCTATCAAGCTTGAGCAAGTGCGGCAGGCACTTAACTCTAGTGATGTGCGGAGGCACATTGAAGGAGATAGAGATGACCAAGCAAGTGGGCTCTTTTTGAGAGGCCGGACTAGCCAACAGGGAAAGAGCAAATAAAAGCACAGATCAAAGTCTCGTGTGAACAAGAAGAATACAGAGTGTTGGGGTTGTGGCAAGAAGGGGCACTTTGAACGAGATTGCCCAATGTCAAAGTCCAAGGAAAAGGCGAGTGCATCTACAGTTGAACAGGTACATAATTTTGATAATGATTATGTACTAACAACATCGTGTAATAATAATAGTAGTTATGAAAACAAATGGGTGTTAGACTCTGCTTGTACTCTGCATATGACGTTCCGAAAAGACTGGTTTAGCAGCTACGAGAAAAGTGGAGGAACCGTAGTAATGGGCAATAATGCAACTTGTGCAATAGTTGGCATTG